CTCAGAGTCCGCTTCAATTTCTTTGGATAGATACTCATTTTGTACGACCTGCATCCGCGTGTCTGATAGGATGATAGTTATGCAGTCTAAAGTTCGTGTGGGTATACAGAAATCGTAATTTGGGAGATTTATGTAATTTGGGAGGTTTGTACATAAATCACTTGATCATGCTGTTCAATAGCTTTTGACCATTGCAATCGAATTATCAAATGTTGCAAGTTTACTCTGTTCTTCAAACAATGAGCGGATTTGGTAAATCCCGGTCTCATGTCGCTCAACTAAGTGAGCTGCTAATTTTTTTTGCAGAAATTTTTTTGAAAGGACTATATTGTGAGATTGATGTGAACGGTGAATATGAAAGTTATTATGTAATTATAAATGTCTTCGTTTGCTCTTTGAAGTTCTTGAAGAACTTTGTTCTGGTGTGTGTTAGTTTGTTCAACTTTGTTTTCCACGTTAAATCAGTACAACATATATTCCTTGGAATGGCTCGAGTGAGTTGTTATATTAAAGCTATTTCAGTCGTAATTAGAATTAAATAATTTCCCAAAAAAATTTCAGTGGCGATAAAAACCGATTTTCACCCTTGCGATAAGCAAGAATATTGAAATCGGGTAGTAGACTTCCCTTAAATAAATTTGTTCACATGACTCATCGACTCCTGGTGGTACCTTGGTTCTTGATGAATTTGAATATCTTACTGTCTCCTGCTTACTTAGTCTGGAGGCAATGAATACACATGGGACGGCGAAGGTCCGGAGTTTGGTTCTGACCAGGACCTGTTTTTGTTTCAAACGGTAAATTTTCCGGTTCGAAAAAGTTTCGACCTATTAGTTGTCTTCTTATGTTTTGTCGGCTTAGTTGTCAGATCTGAGAATCGTTTATTTATGATGCAATCAATTTTCACTGTAATTACATTAAGTAATTTAGCAATATAAAAATCTGCCCAAGTCAAATTTCTTACATTGGTTGTAATTTTACCAACTCTGTTTGTTTGAATTTTTTTTCATTTGTCTTTTTTCGACTTAATCGGTTTCGGCTTATTTAAAATTGAATCAGTGTTCCCTTATTGTGTCGTTTAATGACCGAAAAAGCTTTTGCGTGCTGTGTTTTGACTGGAAGAGGGCCTCAATGTTTTTTATTTAGAAGTTTTCGATTGTTTTTCGGCATAAAGGGTTTCTGCTGAGTTATGTTTGTTTTGTTAGCGTTCGGTAAGTTTTGTCCGATGCTAATTTTGCTTTCTATTGTGTGGCATGTTTTTTCATATTTAATTAATTTTGACTGATCTAAGTATTTGTATAGTGATACATCGATAGTACGCTTTAGCTTCGATATTTTGATTTTTAAGCTTTCGATTCACTCTGGGTTTAGTTTGCGAATTGTAAATAATACTTTGATTTCAGTACTTATATGGCTTTCGTGGATACTATTTGGGCAGAACATGTATGTTTTACAATAAGATTTGCCGAACAATTTTGGTTAATTTTCAGCTAATTGGTTGCCGGCTTCCGTTCTGTCGGCTTTTTTAGCTAGTTTTTTGTTTCCTACAAATTTTCGAGATTTTTTATAATACAAAATTGTTAGCTCAAATTTAATTTTTTAATGCTCAATTTCAACGCCGTATATTTAAAAATAAAAAAAACTAGATTTTCATTTTGTTTTTCTAGTTGTTTCTTCAACGATAAGAACGTTCGAAGTCGTCTTTGATAGTTCTTGAGTGTCTTGCTCTTTTAATCCTCTACTTGCTGTTTTGCAAGTCGTGCGAAGTTCAGCTTCGCCTATATAAAGAAGTTCTTTTACCTTTACACTTCCCTAATTAATGAAGTTCCAAGAGTTTTTGGACTTTCGAGCGAGCAATTGTTAACCCTACTTTCCAGCGAATAAAGGGAGCGACCAGGCTTGTAATATGGCGTTAAGTTTTTGTGTAAGCTGAAAAAACTTGATTATGCTCATTTTTAAAATACATCTCGAAGCTTCGGTTTAGCGTTTTTTTAGGAATAAAACATTTCACAGAATTACTTAAAGCATGCCCAGTGATTGTTGTTCATATCAATTGCGTGAACATAACTCATTGCGACTCTAGGAAAGATCCAATAGTTTTAACGTCTTATGTGTAAATGTCAAATCTGTCAATAATACTTCATTGGTAATGACTTAGTGCTAGATAATTATCTTAATACAGCTATTTCAAATGTTCGAGTACTCAAGAGAGTACCTAAGGACTCGCGTGTTCCCTCAGCACAAAGTCTTTTGGATAAAAGGAATAATATTTTCAACAAAGTTGAAAAAACTCAAGCTTGGCTAGTTTTTCTGGCGTCTTTCTTGTTTTTTCTTGAAAAAGCTGAAAGAAGTGGTCATAAGCCAGAATAAAAAAATATATAAAAAGGGAGCAACAAGGCTTGCCACTTCGGATGACAAGTTCGGACCTTTTTCGACTTCTAACTATGACTCTTAATTAATTATCCAAGCACCCCAAAAGAGCTGATTTGAACGCCTAAAACACGGAAATTTTCGATAGCTTTTTCGTAAATGAGGAATCAGATCGTTTTCAAGTGGTTTGGGAGCCGGTCGGGACAAAATTGATCGATCAGTTTCTAAAGATCTTATTAGGAAATCATTGGCAATGCGGGGCTCAATTTCTTGAAATCGCTTACAAAGCTCCTAAACCTTATAGATGAAGGTAAAGTACCCGAACCGTTGAGATCTTTCTTTTTGGAGTAAAACTTATCGCCCTCATAAAATAGATAGAGGCTTGCGACCAATTGTCATCGGCAACACGCTCAGACGCGTCCCGTCTAAGTGCGCGGAAAGTAAGGCTCTCGCGACAAATTTTTTGGGAATTTTCAGGTGGTATGTGGTACTAAACATGGAGCTAAATCCGCTGCACACTACTTTAGAAACTTATAAGAGCGCGATGACAATACAAATTGCTAAGTTTTACTTAAACTATATCTAGTAAGGCTGTTATTTCGCGTAATAGTGAAACTATGTTGAATCAAGTTTTTCAGATTTGCACGGTGTTGAAAAAGTATACTCATTGCTCCTACATTAAAGCGTGCTACTTTTTTAAAGGAAATTCCACTACTTCAGAGGACAGAACACAGAAAGTTTACCACAAGGCTCCACCCCTGTTTATTGAAATAATGCCGACGCTAGTAAAAAGCTTGAGTCCAAAATAAACGTTTGGTATTCAATCGATGGCAACCTAGCCTACGACTAAGATAGTGCTCCGAGACCTTAAAAGCATACTGAAATTGGAAATTACTATGATTGAAGGTTAAACGTAGAAACAGGTGAGCTTTGTTCTCTAGGACCGACCAAAAGTATGCAGTACGATACAGTCATAGGTCAAGTTCAAGAAGTATCCCAAAATTCAAAATGAATTCCTATATAAAATTGTAATATTAGGCTCCTCTATCGGAGAATCTTGTCGCACAGAACTGCTAAATGATTGAATGGCTGAATGGGAAACAAGTTATGAAGTAATCGACAATCTGGATGCACTTTATGGTTTTTACCTCCTGAAAAATTGCTTAAGCACGCCAAAACTATTTTTTTTTTGAATTTCTTTTAACTCCGTTTTTTTCTGCAGGTGTTAGTTTTCTCAATCTGGTTGGCTTGATTCCCAACCATCTGACTACTTTTATTCATGTTTTACTTTACTTTGCCCTTCTTTATGAAATTCCAATGGTTGTTTTCGGTTACCATGGTAGTTTTCGACCTTCTGATTTGCCTTTATTTTGAAAAATAAAAAATATAAAAAGATTCTGTTCTTCTGTTCCTTTTTGATTGTGATAAGCCAGGGCGTTGCAATCGAGGTTCTATACTTTTCCCTTGTAAACAACTTTCTTCACAGGGTGACTGAAATTTGAACATCTGCATCTGTACTCATGCCTGCAATTTAACGATGTTTTTAAATAATTACACTTGCGTTTAGCCAGGGGTGTTCTGTTAATTTTTTTGTTCATGTTGGTTGTAAAGTTACTAACTCGATTTCACATTATCATTTTTTCGTCCTTTTTCTTTTTATTCGACGATTTTGTCTTAAAGCCTTCTTTGGGTCGTTGAAGGAGCAAAAAGGTTTTACCTAAATGTTATGAGGGGGACTTAAAATTTTCTAATTTAAAATTTTCATTCACGAAGCTCAAGAATCGTTGGCTTCGTGAATGACCGCTATGTTAGTTTTGTTTCGCTGCTTACTTGACAGGCAATTGTCTTACCTCGACATGTTTTCTTGAAAGGAATTTTTTCTCAGGACAAATGTAGGAATCTTTTTGGTAGCTTTGGTTGAATTTATTCTACGGCTTTCTTTTCGTTCAAGACAAAATCTGTCAATTTTTATTCAATATAAAGTCAAAAAAACGTAGGTCGATTGTAGATTCGGTCGATTTTTTTCTCCAGCTTTCTTCTATATCGTGTGGTACAACTTATTATTTCGGGTATTTTTGCATGCTATGCTTGTTGTATCGCAATTTGTTTCTGTCATATGTATCGCATGTTTTGTTGATTTTTTTGTCATGCTATGTAGGTGTTGTATCCCAAGTAGTGCGAAGTTTTGCTATGCCTGTCTGTTTTTATTTTTTGATTTATTGGTTTATCTACAAGTTGATAGTCAGTTATTTTTCTTATATAAGTGGTGCGAAGCTCTGCTTCGCCTCTGTTTTAATATCGAATATGCCTAAGTTATAGTCTTTCGTTAAGATCCTCTCATCACACCACAAACTAACGATGTCTCAGTTAAAAAACAACTTGATTTTGTTTACTTTTTTGTGGTCGAAACTTTCTGTGCCACTTGTAAAGCTATCCTTGGTTCGGTTATTATTTTTTCAAGTTGAATTTCCTCCGTTTTCTTCTTTTTTTATACCAGACTGCTCAGTAAAAGGACCTTTGCAACATCAATTACAGTTTTCTCTGATGTAATCTCGGAAAACGATTGCGAAACAATGTTTTGTAAATCAGTAATTTAGATTGAATGAATTATGATATTTCTTTGAAGGTTAGAATGAAACAACTTTGAGATGACTTCGGAATACCGCAGGCACGATTCGCCCTCTAGTTCGAATGAAGCCCATACTTCTTCGACAAACAGTGGCGATAGATACCCCAAGGAAGAAACAAGTAATGGAAATTTTGACTGTAATATTTGCCTTGAAACAGCTAGCAACGCTGTCGTGAGTTTATGTGGGCATCTTTTCTGTTGGCCATGTATTCATCAATGGCTCGAGACAAGACCAAATAGGAAGTTATGCCCTGTGTGCAAAGCAGGAATCAGTAAAGAAAATGTCGTTCCCTTATATGGAAGGGGCTCACAGAGCTCAAGCGGGTCAGCACCGCAAGATCCCCGTGAAACTGTACCTCCTCGACCTCAAGGTCAAAGATCAGAACCCGTCGACAGCTACTCACCCCTGGGCTTTGGCGGTGACAATGGAGGTGGTTTTCATATGTCTTTCGGCATTGGAGCGTTCCCTTTTGGATTTTTTATGTCAAATTTCAACTTAAATGGCGCTCAACCGCCCCCAAGTGGTAGTCCACAGCACGAAGAGGAACAATTCCTTGCAAAGATTTTTCTCTGGGTTGCACTTCTGTTTGCACTTTGGCTGCTCATATCGTAAATTAGTCAATCAATATAATGGCCATGTACGATTCAAATTATTTATGTAATATATTGCAGTTATGAGTGAAATGACATATGCATCAACTGATTTAATTAGTTAATTTTCTGATGATTTCGCTTTTGGAAAATAAGGCTAGCTTAAGTTATCTCTGTTTCATAGGAAATTTTTGGAAATTTTAAAAGAAACTGGGCAAATTTTAAAAACTGTTGATATATTGATTCAATAAATGAACAAAAATAGTTTCTTCTTACTCCATGCGATCAGAAATTTGTTTTGCAAACGCGAGAATCTTATTAGATTTGCAGTTTTTCGTTCGGCTTAATTCTGGTCGACTTAGTTGATGTTTTTTTCCCACTCAGCAACTGAGGCAACTGAATTTTGGTCCTAGCCGTTGTATCAACTGTTGATTCGAAGCCTGAGCAAAATGGTTGGAGCGCTGTGTCTTTTGGGTTTTGTCTTATGTCTGTTAAGGCTACTAAATGTCAATTTAAAAGCCTAGAATTATTTTTTCATAAGCACGGGTGTTGCAACCGGGTACTAGACTTTTCCCCATTAAAAAAATTAATAGCAAGATTTCGCGCGGCTTTAGTGTTTTTATCGGCTTAATTTCCCTAGCATGGACTCTTCTCGCAGGTTGTTTTCGTTTTGAGGAGTTTTGATTGTATTTTTTTTGAAAATATTTTGGATGAAAATTTTACAGTTGGGAAAAGTTTTTTTTATTTTAGAATTTTTTGCTTCGTCGAATAACTTGCAAGCGGTATCATTTCGGAATGTATACTTCTTCTTGTACAAAAACTTGTCCGATAGAATCATCGAATCATTTTCTGAATTATGCACCACCGAACTATGGCCAAGTGTTGAGCAAAATACAATATTTCAAAGAGCACTGGTTCATCATTGATTTTAGTTTTACATTGAATCCCTACCAGACGTGATTATCTGTGGAGAAAAAGTTTCTGGCTGATTCAAACAGCGTTCTTTAAGTTTAATTCGGCTCACTGAATCTCTATTATTCCAAACTTTGTTGTTATACCTAATCCCGTTTGTTACAGGCTCAATTTTATGAACGTCGATTAATTTGCAAAACAAGTTTTCGAATCATCTTCAATTTTAGCTCTTAAAGATATATATTTTCACATTTGTGGTAAACACAAGTTATCGATATTTAAGCATACAACATTTCTTGAGTGTCGGATATCATTTGTGTTTCATTTTGCGCGCAAAATGCAATTTATTTTGTTTTGAAAAGTAGTTCAGTATTTTTTTAAAGCACTTCTATATTGTCAAAAAAAATTGTTTTAATAACATGTTTATCAATGAATTTTTGTATTAAATGTAGTGTATATAGTACCTACAATTTTTTAGTACTAATTTTCCCCGGCTTAATATCCGGGTTTTTTCAAATGCAGTTTTTATGATTTATAACACTTTTTCAGGATCGTAATTTCCAAAAAATGGTCTTATTTATTATCTTTTTAAATGCGGGCTTCACTCTCTCGCCATGGTTAAGCTTTTCCAACGTATTATTTTTGCATGCTTAAAAGAATTTTTTCATGTTTTAGCTATATTGTATATTGCAATGGTTAAATTTTTTTTTTCGATTTTCTTGTTTGAATTCAGTGTTTATTTCACCAAGTTTGCAATTAGCAAAGCAATAGTGGGATGCGGTCAGGTTTTCCCTGGGTATTGTGATTTTGGCCTCCATATATGAATAACCAAATCCTTTTAGCTTACGAGATTCGGCAATTTTCGAGTTTTTTCAAAAATTCTAGAAGTTTTAATTTAAAAATTTATCTGAAAATTTGAAATCTCAATCATGTAGTTGGAAACTGTGAGGATACTCCCAGGGGTTGCGAATTGTGCCTCGAAATATTACTGCTCAAGTCCATGTAGTTTTCGAGATATGAGGTTTTTTGTGATTTTTTCAAAAAGTTTTCAGAAAACTCAAATTTAATTTTTTTCTTCAAAATTTGGAGTTACCAACTCTGTATAGGGGGCTTTCAGAGTATTCTAAGGGGTTGCAAATCGTGCCTCCAAATACGTCTGCTCAAATCTTGTTAGTTTTCCAGAAACGACGGTTTTTTGTGATTTTTTCAAAAAAAGTTTCAGAAAACTTAAGTTAACTTTTTTCAAAATTTGAATTTCGTAATTCTGTAGTTGCGGGATGTCAGTGTACTCGCAGGAGTTCCGAATATTGCCTCCAAATGAGGTTACTCAAATCTGTATAGTTTTTGAGATATGACGTTTTTTTTCAAAAAGTTCTCAGAAAACTCAATTTTATTTTTTTTTTCAAATTTCCAACTCTAGTTGGGGACTGTCAGGTACTCTCAGGGGTTGCGAATCTTGCCTCCTATTCTCACTTCTCAAATCTTTGTAGTTTTCGAGATATGACGTTTTTTGTGATTTTTCAAAAAGTTTTCAGAAATTCCTAACCTTTTAGTTGGGGGCCGTCCGAGGTTTCAAGTTTCCGAAATGTGACGGTTCTCTGTTCATTTTATTTTTTTTTCAAAGAAATTATTTGTATAAAATTTCAAAAATATTTATGGTTTTTCAGAGTTTGAATTCAAAAAAAACTTAAACCTTGCAAAATTTGCAACTACCAACCGTGTAATTGGATGGTGCTAGGGTACACTCAAAGGATGTACATCTAGATGTTCATAATAATTAGCTAATACTATGACGTTAGAAATTTAAACAAAATATGACGTTAGAAATTAAAACACAATACATAGTTCAATTAGCCGATAACAATTTTGTCGAATTTCGGTTTTTACGGTTGCCGATGGGAGCGCTTTGCGCGCGTCGCCTCTTTGTGGCCACCACTGACTCTAATTTTGTTTAAAGCCCTACCTTATGTCACTATTAATTTGGCCTATACATAATCTTATAAGCGAAAGGTATAAATCGGATCTTTGCCCTAGTTTTAGAAAAATTTCGGATGTTTGTCCTAGTAAAGCTGTTTCTCGAATCTTTGCTACACTTTTTGGGGTTTTTCGGATGTATGCCCTGTGTGCCCCTTTAATATGATATCCTATTCCTAAAGATTTATTTTTTTTCTTAATTTTTTGCATGGAATAAACATCTCAGGAGTTCCGAATACGTTATGAGAAAATGCGCGACATGAAAGGATCCGTCGGTAATTTTAAAATAGGGAAGCAAGGCAAATGATATACGGGTGTATAGCTCGGGAAAATTTCAGATCGGATGTTTTAAAATGTCTATTTGTGATAAAGTTTGTGCAGGAGTTCCCATAAAAAAATTGATTAATAGAACGGTTTCTAAAGATAATTTGAACGAAATTTCACAATTTATTGATGCAAATTTGATATGGCGTAAATATCAACCACGACTCTTTTTGGAAAACTTGATGACTATTACAAAATTAGCGGAAGACGCGAATATGACGGAAGATATTGAGCCAATATACAACGCTATTGGTGAACTGCTTATTTTGCCTCGGGAAAATGATTATTTTTGCATTTATAATCCGAGCAGAAACTGCTGTTGTCGTATAGTTACTCAAGAAAATTCGAGAGAATTAAAACACGGAACAACTGGACTTTTTTCTTGGCCGGCGGCAATCTCTCTTGTTCGAAACTTGGACTTTCTCAATTTCCGAGAATTAATCGAAGGCAAAATTGTCGCTGAGTTGGGTTGCGGAGTTGGCCTACTTGGGTTATCGTGTCTGATTTTTTGTCAGCCCAAGAATTTCATTTTCACCGATCATTCACATGAAGTATTACAAAAGGTTGAACTTAATCTTTCACTGAATATTTCGGATTGTGATTTGAGATGTACCAGACACGAATTTATTGGAGATAATTATGAGATTGACTGCATTGACTTTTGCGAACATGATGTTGCAGTTATTGATGCAGATGTTTTAGTTGGGAGCGACATAGTTTTCGACCCTAATATGGTTCCACCGCTTTGTGGCTACCTGAATTCATTTTTGATTTCTGGATCAGACAGGAAATGTTTCATTGCGTGCACTGTGAGGGCTCAAGAAACTTTCGATCTGTTTCTCGATGGGTTATCGTCTTGTAAGCTGAATACTGAAATAGTTGAGCTGAAAGACGATAATAGCGAGCAGGATATTAAATTATTAATTATTTCAATTAAATCTGTTAATTAATCTATAAAAATATGTTCGAATAGTTTTTAAGAGGAAATAGTGAATGAAAGATCGTTATTTCTTTTATTCACAAACAAGCTGAGATTCTTGAACCTATGAAAAACAGGAAGATAAGATATGGAATTTGATGCAGCTTGTTCTATAAGATACTCACTCGAGTGAAATCAAATATTCTTTTTTTTCCTTTTATGTGTTAGCAGGCTGGCAACTTGGTCTATATTTATAGACTGGTTAATAAAAATCATTATTTGGTCTATAATTTTTTTGAAATCTGTTTTTTGTAGAGATCCCCCTCATGGGTTCGTCCCCCTCCCGACCCTTTGTACTATTTTGAGATATCCATTTTTGGCTGACTGGCCCTAAAGTTTTTCTTAAAGTGCCTTCGGCGCCAAAATAGACTAGTTTTGAGAAGCGCGCGCCGAAAAAACGTGATTTTTTTTGTCAACATTTTCCAAAAATATCTCAAAAACGCCTTTTATTTTAAAAATTCGCCTGCGTCGCGGAAAATTTGGTCAAAAATACCGTTAAGTTTTAACGTTTCTTGAAGGTCTACATCTTTTTGAGAAACTAGTGACCAGCCTGTGTGTTAGACTAATTTCAGCTTTTGTTGATAAAAAAACTTCACAGAAAAGGTAGCTATTCCCAACATGAACAAAGTGAAATGCTGGGTTAAAAAGCTCGAATGATCGAAAAAGGCATATTGAATAACATGCTGTATATAATAATAATATATTGTGTGATATAATAATCTGATATATATTTTGGGAATCATTTGAGTTACTCAAGCACAATAAATGAAAACGGAAAGAGAAAATTTAAATTAAAATGAAAAAAATGAAGTTTTTAGATGATCACGAAAAGAGCAAATAAAAAAATTCGCATTTTATCAGTTAAATAATTTTCTTGAGCCTCATGTTTTCAGTTGAACGGTTTTAAACCGTATTCATGTTTTTCAGATAACCTTTAGTGTATCGTCACGTTCATTTCTGCAGAAATAATGGCAACTTATAAGGTAATTTCCTTAACCTCCTAGTATTTTTAGTTGTAATAGCGACGAAGCCGTTTTTGATTTAAATTGCGGTAAATTTAACTGTTAATTTTTATCTTAGACGACAAAAGAATTTCTTGAGGTTTGGTTTTCTTTATCACACTTTCTGTTCCTTTGAGTTTTTGCTCCGTTTTCATGCAAATTGATCCCAATGATAATGAAAAAGATCCCATGCATATTCTGAAATTGATAAAGTAAAAAACCGAGGTGATCTCAAGTAAATGTATCGGAGCTATGATTGGTGGGAAATTATGGCATATCTTGCGCTGTGATTCGTTGATAAAACCAGCTCAGTTGACCCGATTGGATTGTTGCTTTTTCTAGGCAGCAGAATCGAAGAGGGAGGAGTTCAGAAGGTACCTGGAGAAGTGTGGGGTGCTAGACAATCTGACCAAGGTGCTAGTGGCACTCTACGAGGAGCCAGAGAAACCCAACGACGCCCTCTCATTTATCAAACAACACATGACTGCCGGTGAGAAAAGCAGGCTCGGATTATTTTGACCGAATCTTTGGTTTTCTATGGAGTTAAGAAACAGCATTGAAATAACAGTGTTGAAATTTGTTAAAACTATGATCAATTAAGTTTTCAAGTTTTGCTTACTGCAATGTAGCTTTATTATAAAGCTACTTCTTGGAGTGCAGTTTCATAATTGTAGTGCTGATTACACTAGCCGACTTTAGCGAGCGTTAGTGTTATACTACGTCTATTCTTTTTTTCTAACCTTAGTCGCAAATATTGGTGCCACTTTTTTGGGCACCTTTTCGGCGTATTGATAGCATGTGCTTTGAAATTCGAATAGTAATAGGTTAACACATGTGATGCTTTTTAAATTTATCAAATGAACCTAACAATGATAAAAAACTCGATTTCAGAAGTATTCTAACTCAATATATCTCACAATTTTTTGAAATGAATATTTCATACCTAATGTGGTTTTATGCATTCCAATTTTTTACATGCAAAATTGGTGCTGATGTCTTCAGTTTGTTATAATCCAAACTATTACTTGCAAAATTGTGTCTATTTGTATTTGGTGCCACTTTTGCTGCATTGCATTGGCAATTTGTTAGCATATGTAGCTACTTTATTTGCGACTAGTGCTTGCCTGTTGTTAAGTCTTTGTGTGCGAGAGGGCAGGGCGTGAGAAGCCCATACATAGCAAAATTTTTCTAATTCGAGGCTTATTTATACTTTTTCTTTTTGCACTTTATAGAGCTGCTTTTTTGTCGTGTTCTCGCTTGTGTTGCGAAGCGCATCTTCATCTCTGTTTTTAAATTATCTCTACAAAATGCGTGAAACGTTTAAAATTGTTTTTCAGTAAAGTTTTATTGTTTTATTGTATTGTAAAATTGACATATTTTGGCTATCAAACAAATATAGTTTATACAATTTTTTGGAGATCATACCCTTCTTATACTTTTTTGGGCTATGTAAGAAGATCACTTTGATATAGTTTTAGCAGTAACTGACCCGGTATCTGTAGTGTAACTTTTGATTGACCGAAAAGGACAAAAATGGTCCATTTTTGATGTAAATTTTCAAGTTCGAATTTGGCAAAACAAATTGCATTATATTAATTTTTAAGCGGAAGTTTCAAGCGGAATTTATCTTCATCATTTTTCACCCAAATTTCCACCCAATTGCAGAAAAATGCGTTGTAAATTCCAAGTTTTATGCGTGTATGCTAATTCGAATAAAAAACTCGAAGAATACACTTGTAGTGGTATTAATTTAATCACTGAAGGCTTTGAGATTTAGTACCTGTCCGGGTAGTTGGCAATGTAAATTTATCAATCATATTTTTAAAAAAGACTTTCAGTACATAAATGAGTGTGTTGTGCTTGCTAGGAGGCCCAGAGACTGCCGATGTTGAGGCTTTGAGACTGGAGAATGGTGAATTGCAGAAGAAGAACGAGGAATTGGAGCAGACAGTACAGGAACTCAAACAACAGGTAGCTTCTCATTTTTTTTAAAGTTAATTAGCGAAGTGAAGACAATTAAATTGGTCGAATTGATTTTTTCAGGAAAATCTTAAATTTGTTTGTTCTGCTTATTTTTTGCAGTTTGACTTTTGATTTCTTTTTAAGTTCAGTTAATTTGCTTTGCAAACTCAACTATCAAACATTGAACTTGTAATTGTCACGAAAAACGTGATAGTTTTATAGTTTCGAATTGGTTTTTAATTGTTAGGTTTTCCGGCGGAATCAAAAATACTTATTGCTACAGTTTTCTCAAATTGGGTTTGTAAAATCAAAAAGTGTCAATCATAAGTTATTTTGGGTAAGAGCAGTCAAATTGGGGAGAAACTTTGTATTCGGAGGGCGGATTTTCTGAGCTCTCCCAAATTACCATTAAGACCCTATGTTGACCAAATTTTCTGCGACGCAGGCAAGTTTTGAAAAAAAACATGCCAAAACGATTAAAAATTTGACCAAAAACTCACGTTTTTCGGCGCGCGCTCCCTCAAAATTAGTAGTTTTTGGTGGTAAAGGCGCCTGAGAAAAATTTTTGGGTCGGTCAGCCAAAATTATCTCAAAACAGTACAAAGGGGGATCCTTTGGGTCGGCTGGGGGTCTCTGAGGGAAGGCCGTACGTCCAAACCCCCCCTCCCCCCTCAAATCCGCCCCTGGTTGCCTCATAGTCGAGAAAAAACCGATTTGAATTTTTTGTATTAGTTTCAGGCGAAGTAAAGCAATCCAATAACGTTTGTTGGATAATAGTTGGTTGGATGATAACTTAAATTACGAAAGCAAGATTTTAGCATTGCCTTGGCTCAAAATCTAAAAAGGTTTTAAATTTAATAAGCAAAATTTAGAAAGCTCTGTAGAAAGTTTTCAGAAATATTTTATTTGTTCGTTTTTTTGTTTTTCACTTTGAAGACAACTATCGTTGAGTATGCCTATTTCACTTACTTTTTAAGCGTTTGTATAGTTTTCTATCATATAGAAAAAAAAAGAAACAAAAACAGCAACCAGCTATCCTTGATCAAATTCGAAGAGCCTTAAAGTGATATATTTTTTTGCTTTGAAAGTCGAAAGTTTTTTCATAACAAAAAAAAATGTGATCGACTTCTAGTTTGGGTGGACTTCAAGTAGATTTTAATTTTAAGTTTTCCAGGCGGAATACAAATTGGTTCAGTTTTGTCAAAGTAAGTGTCAATCATACACTGTTTTGTTTTTTACCAAATTCGAGCTTTAATGGCATATTTTTTTCTTTGAAAATCGGAAGTTGAAGTTTTTTGGAATATTTTATTTGTTCAAGTCTGTATTATAAAACAAGTCTGTATTATCTTGTGTTCCTTGACACTGTTATAATTGTCTGTTAGCTTCGTTTATATGTTTAAATGAACTGAAAACCAGTCGCTGCGCAATTAGCACAGAATTTTCCGGCCACCTTGATTTACGAAAAGAATTTCAAAAATAGGGGAAAGAACATGAAATAAAGTCACATTCTTTTTCAAAAATTTTTAGATTGTCTAAATTTCGTGGCGGTTTTTGTACTAAGGGCGCTTAAGTTAGGCAAGAAAATTGCAAAACTAGAGGTAATTATTGAAACAATAAAGTTGAAATTGCAATGAAGTAAAATTGATTTTTTTCACAATTGATTTGCTAGTCACCAAATTTCGTGACAGACATTTTTTCGAACAAAACACAGCTGAAAGGGTTTCAATATGTTGCGTCAATTGACTCTTGCAAGCTTTCCTTGAGGTAGTCAAAATTGGAGAGGAAAAACACCCTACGCCATAGTTTTTCTCTCCCCTTCCTGAAATGGTCAAAGCAAAAAACAGCTCTTAGAGAATAATATTGATTTAAGGTTAATGGAGTTAAAATATCCGAAGGTAGAGTTTCGTTTACCCGGACGGAGTACATAAAAAGATCATATGTATTAAGTTATCGAATAAAATTGACTCAATCATAATGATTAATTGATAGTGATATGGCAGAATTTTATTTAGACACTCTTGAAAATATGGTTATGTCCAGGCAGGGGCGGATTTAGGGGGGGGGGGCGGACGCCCCCCATCAGGGATTCGACCCCCTGCCGACCCAAAGGGTCCCCCCTTTGCTACTTTTTCAGAAATCCAATTTTGGCCGACCGACCCTGAATTTTTTCTAAAGGCGCCTTCGGCGCCAATATATACTAACTTTGAGGAGCGCGCGCCAAAAAAAAACGCGATTTTTTTTTTGTCAAAATTTTTCAAAAAGTGCCCAAAAACGGCTTTTTTGACTGTTTTTTCAAAAACTTGCCTGCAGCGCAGTAAAATTTTGCCAAAATAGGGCCAAAACAGTGCTTTGGGAGAGCTCGAAAAATCTATTTGGTCGACCTAAAAAAAAAGGTCGTCAAAATTGTCGATTTTTTTTTTGAAAATCCGCCCCCCCCTCGAGAAAATCCTAGATCCGCCCCTGTGTCCAGGTCTCCGCAAATGTTTTTGATATGATTGCTTTTTCTTCAGCTGAGCAAATACGAGGTGAATCAGGAAACTGTTGAGGATAACCCGGAAGCAGCTGCCTAAACTTCCACTCATCCAACTTCTGAGGAGAAAGGAGACAAGTCACCGGACCAACAGTTGTCATGAAATAAAATTGTCTACGAAAACTGAACTAGTCTAGTGCTCTATGTCTGTATGCTCTGTAAACTCAGTAGTTCCGAGCTGATCGCTCACGACTCACAAATGTTTACCACGTTAAACGAATATATCATTTGTAGTTCAGTTGCTAGTCTACGGCTATGTGTACATATCTCCTCTGTAAATTTATGTCAAATTTAGTATAATCAATTAACGAGTTGAGTTTTTCAGTTTTTTTGCCTGATGATTGTTGATTTTCTTCACAATTAATTGAAGAAATATCATCAGACTTCAAAGATATTTTTATTTGTTTCCACATTCAATAAAAGTTAAGATTATTTGTACCAGCCATAGTGTTTGTTGAACTTGAATTCATTTACCAGCTGCAGTGAAAAGTTATATAATTTTAATAAACTATAAACTGCCTGGAGGGGTCATTGAAGAGTATTTCAACTCAACGAGCAATGACCCTGGGTAATGCTGAGAGAGCAATTGTGAGGGACATGAACTTACTAATTAAAGAAAAAAGTTGCATATTGTTACGTAGGTACAACCTTGAAAAACAATTGAAAAAAATTGAGAAATGATTATCACTCATTTCTAACAAGTCTTTAGGACAAACTATTTTTGATTGGCAAATTATCAGCTAAAAATAGCTGATGTTCATTGATTTCCGTTCTTGAAAGGTTCTACAGTATTCATAATACTTATTTTGTAGTATTTCTTGCTTGTCGTCTGCTGTGAAGTTGTTCTGGATTAAGGAACTTTTGCTGAAAGCGGCCACGAAGCTCATGAATAAGCATTTTGAATAATTCACCCAGAAAAGTATCGAAAACAGGGAAAAACTCGTGGTTCTCTATAATGTCGACGAGTGGCTCGGAACTTCGTTTGAAAAATATTGCTCTAATGATTCGTTTTTGAACAGTCAAATTTTCATTTAAATACGTTTTATGTTATTTCGAAATTCCATAATTTAATTTTGACTGGCAAAATGCAATATAAAAAACCAGTAGTTGTTTTTTTTGAGAAGTATTTTCTAGATTTATAAACGACCCCACAGAACTGCGAAAGTTTTTTGATTATTTTTTCAATATGACATTTGTAGCCCAATTTTTTGTCAATTTCAATTCCTAAAAATATGGAACGATCAACAGTTTTTGGTACTTGCCCTGAAAGATGCAACCTTGATGTTGAGGTCTTACCAAAGTTCATGAATAAACATTTGTCGGAATCCAATCAGATGTTTTACGAATGTCAGCGGCAAAAACACATTTTCACTTTTTCCAGAATGAGAAATTGTAGAGCTATCAGCAAATGTACTACATTGCTTTTTGTAGTTTTGTGGTGAATCATTAATATAAAAGAGAAAAAGTAGGGGGCCGAGCACTGAGCCTTGCAGTACACCATGCTCAATTTTCAGTGGTTGTGATGATGTTGCATTCATTTGTACAAATTGTTCTCGATTTGAAAGATATGACTTGAGAATGTTCGAAAAACGTTCCTCGAAAACCATAATGTTTTTTTCAGCAGGCGCTCATGATTAACTGTGTCAAAAGCTTTTTTAAAATCTAAAAAACAAGCTAAGCCATAGTTTTTGTTTTAAATCGTAGAGCGCATGAACTTGGTAAATTTTAAAAAGCATCTACACCTGTTTTTTTTTGGCTGAAATCCAAACTGAGTTTGGTTAATTATCTTATGTTTTTTGATAAATGAAAGCATTCTTAAGTAATTTTTCAAAGTTTTTTGATATTGAGCTCACGAGACTAATCGGTCTATAATTCCCTGGATCTGATTTTGCCCATGTCTTATATAACGCAATTGATTTTGCAACTTTCGATCTGGAAAAGTCCCTTCGGAAATTGAATGATTGATAAGTTATAATTGGCAAACTTGTTTTCAAAATTTTGTTGGAAATGCCATCATGACCAATAGAGGATTTTTTTTAAAAATCTTGTATAACTTTAACAACTTTTTTTGTATAAGCAACTGAGAAAATTGCCGTATTTAGATAGTTTTTAATCTTAGGTTTAACAAATGCGTTTATTTCAAATTTGGCAGCTAGATTGGAGGCAACAGAAGTAAAATAATTGTTTAATGATTCTGCACTGATATTCGATTGCTGAAAGAAAGACTCACGACCGCTTAATAGTTTGTACGCGCTAAATAGATCCTTAGATGAAACGGGACCAGCAATTTTAGCATCATAATAGTTTAAGTTTGCCTTTTCAATCATTTTTTTAAACTTTGTTACGCTGTTTTTTGTTTTGCTGGTAGTAAGTTTCGTTGGAAGAGTTTACCCAGTTTTCGAACAAAAGATCTCTTTTTCGCATATTTTGTTTTATTTCTTTTGTAACCCATGATTTTTTGACATTTTTATTTCTCACTTAGAGGCATATTTGTCCAATGTATTCATCAGACATTTTTTAGTTTGAGCCAATTTCAAGCTAACATCCCCAATTGATTCAACTCCCTTTAACGAATGCATTAGTTTAAACAAGAATTTGACATTATTGTCATTTTTTAAAATCCCAAAATTCAGTAAACGTTTTCATTGTTGGATGCTAATCACCAAACCTATATCAGTAAGAAGCACGTAGCGGTCACTGATTGATGTTTCATGAGTTTTTGACATAATCCCTTGATAAACAATGATCATTACAAGTTTTAGTTAATGGCGTTACCCTCGGTGCATTGTTGTTATTAACAGAGAAGTGAAATGATTCGATCAGATTTTTTCTAATCTCGCTGTATCTTGCTTTCATTCAACGTATCTATGTTAAAGTCCCCCATGTTAATAGATTTTTGAAGCGTTTGGTATGTTGTACTAGTAAAAACTCAAAATCGTCTTGAAAGTTATCAAAACTGAGACTTGGTGGTCGATAGACAACACATATTATCAGGTTGAATTTTTTGTCTGTTAATTCTATTGTTGCTGACTCAATGTTGCATTTATATTCCACTTCCTCGAAATTCAAATCATTGCGTACAAAGAAAGCTACCCCTCCACCTTTTTTCTGTTGTCTGTTTTTTACAACAATACTTGAGTAACCTGGTAGTTTGTATATATCAAGAGGATCGTTATCGGTCAACCAGGTTTCACAGAGCGCTATAACGATTGGTTTCACGCATAAATTTTCTATAAGACATACTAGTGGTACCTGATGGCATCGCAATGATCGTATGTTCAAAAAAATGCAGCCATTGTTTGAAAGTCCCTTATTGCTCTCTTGAATATCACCCATTTATCAATTTAGTTACAAGATTAACAAAAAGGATTATTAGCTGTTTAGTAAGCTAATCTTGGAAAAGCCAAACTAACAGAAAAGATTTGCATGCTCTAGCGTGCTAAAAGACTATGTTTAGTGTGAGTTATCGCTGTCATATTCATCCTTATTTGTTGTTTCAGTGAATTTCGCTGATTTACACATAATGCGGAGAATTTGTTCGCCTTCATCATCTGGGGAAGTCCTGAGACGTTTCAAAATAGACTTTATATTTTCAACGCTGAGACTCTGGTACGTTTTCACTGGCGTAGAATTTGTATCAGCATTTGAATAGGCACCGTTAACTCCATAATCATATCTATATGGGAGATTTTTAGTTTGTTCAGTAGGTTTCGCATAGCGTGATGTGTCCTTTTTGATAGCAATATCTTTACAGTCATCAATTGCTTTGATCGAATTCACGGTAATTGATTGAAACTTGTCGTTTTCTTTCTTAAAAATCTTCCCCTGGCAGTTGTAGCTGCTCGTCATCAAATCAATCTTATCCGCATAACGTTTAATTTCCGTCTGCAGGGGGCAGACGCTCTTTCAAAATGATGGCTTTTTGTTTTATTGGATTTTTGACAGAGGCGAGCCACGATTTTCTGTTATAAATCTCATTTTTTTCGCCGAACTATAAAAATTTCACTATTACTGCAGGTGGACAATAATATTTTTTCCAAGGCCCACGTAAGTGACAAGCCTTAAAATTTTTAAGCAAAGTCTTGTAACGCAAAAATTTTTCAAAAAAAGCACAAATCTAATTTGTTATTGGTAAAATTTCATCTTGCATGGGCAGCTTTTCTATAATTAAACAATCCGTAGAGGTATACCTTTCTTATGATGTTACCCTCTGCTGAAGATCCTCCCTATAGTTCTCCAGTTGCTGAATCTTTTCATCTTTCTCTTCCAAATTAACAATAAGCTGCTCAAATAATAATTTAACATTCGAATCGGCATCTTTTTTCGAGTAATTGGGAATAATTATTTGTAATATTTTTCATATTTGAGGATTGGAAAGCATTCGTTTCAACTTCTTTGTACATAATTCAAAAACCAACAATTAAGTTGACTAATCGTAAAAGTTTTCCCAGTCGATTTTGGAACTATTAAAAAAGAGCATGGCAATTTCAAATTATGCTAGCGCGGCTTTATGCGATTAATCTTTACGCATGTTCTTTTTTGTTTTATTCCATCCGACAAAATATCTTAGTTATTTGAAAATACCAAATGAAAGGAAGCAATGGCGCGGGTTCAAATGTACTTGTCACCAGTTTTCGTAAAATTAATGAGATTTATAAATAAAACAGCGGGAAGATTTGACTCGCTTAGTTGCAGATAAGTAAGTTCCGCTCTTGAAAAAATTACTTCTCCTTTTCTGAGCTCATTTTCGACAACGAAATCAAAGCTTGAAGTCGAATGAGTTTCCAATAAACCCAAGAATTCAGGTTGGGTAGCCGAAAGAATTAAAAAACTTTCGTCATGGTCGCGAGCAGCTACATGGAAAACGCTGATAAATCCTTCCGTAGAAAACATCATTATTTTTCATTTGTTAAGTAACTCTGGAAATTCGGTAATCCAATTAAAATTTTCACAATAATAAAACTAGTAATTTTACTACAGCAAGAATTATGTTTGGTTTGCTTAAAAGATTTGTCGACAATGAGAAAAGTGTCCGAAAGAGTAATTCATCAGCTTTAGCTTTGCTTTGTTTTCACTTCCGAGAGCAAGTGACTTGTAATCGGAAAATTGACTTTTTCCGCGTATACAACTTTTACACTTTTGCTGCTCAGTTTCAGATGCTGCTCAGACATTTTCCTGAAATTTAACATAAAACTACCTTTCATCATAATTGAGATAGTATTATTTCGTAATTTGTTAGTGAAAAGATATTAACTTTTTTCGGATTTGGGTTTTAGTCCAAATTTTTCTCGGCTGGTCCGACTTTTTTCCAAACGCAATTAATA